AATTTCAGAAGTTGAGCAAAATTTGAGCATAAATGCGGAGTCGCTTCGATTCTCAAATTAAAAAAAAACAACATATGGGGATCGATAGAGATCATTGAGGTCAGTATAACAGTATATTTTTTTTTCTTGCGGAAACAACAACTACAAAAGTTATTAAGGGTCAAAGTTCAAATTTTTTAAATCAAAATTTCTTAGAACGAATGTATGGATTTTAAAAGTTCTCAATCGATAGGAAATTTAGTTCCCTTTAATTTGATATACATACATACTTTATATATGCCTTGTTTAGTTTTCACATAAATCTAATTAATGTAAGCAGAAAGGAATTCCGCTTCTCTTCTGCGGCAACACAGAAAGGAAAATTCTACTTAGGGAGGATTATATTTATATAAAATTAAAGGGAATAAAATTTCCTATCAAATGAGATCAAAATTTTTAAAATCCATGCATTCGTTTTCAAAAAAATGTTGATGTAAAGAATTGTTTAATTTGAACTTTAACTTTTAATAACTTCTGTAGTTGTTGTTTCCACAAAAAATAAATATACCGTTATGTTCAGCTCGGTCATCTCTATCGACCCAATATTTATTTTTTTATTTGAAAATCGGAGCTATTCTGCATTTGTTCCAAAATTTTAATTCATAGTCGCGCCAAAATGTCAAATGAGCACAAACGTCAAATCGAAATGTCACGCAACACAAATCTTGTAATTTGAGTTAGCTTTTTACGCACGCCGGTCAATTTCGGTTGGTCCCATACCAGTTGTATGTGCATGAGAAATTTTTGACAGTAAACTGCCGGCTTGCGTGAATATTAGGTTGGCCTGTTAGGGTTTACACCGGACAATACTGTCATGACAATAGCAATACACGCACACTTTTTCACTAATACATGCATACTTTTCCATTGGAACAATTTTGACAACTAATACGTATATCTTTATTGTCTTGACAGCATTGTCCAATGTAAACGCGGCGTTACTGACAACACAGATAGCCTGTTCCCGTACTTCACGGTTTGCAGGATTTGCAAGTTTTATAGAAACAGCTGTTTTCGCCTTTAATAAACCTTATGTGAACGTGGCGTACGGGAACGACTTTCTGAGCGTTTTTGACATCTGCCTAAAAATGAAAACAAACAAAGAAAACGAAAAAAGCGCGGTGATTGAATGCGATTATATTGGTATTTATTATAAAATAAAAAAGTTAAACTTGATGACAATTAGCAAAAAAAGTTCATAAAACATGGTTTTAATGATTGAGCTTGTTTTACAATCGCATATTATCGGCACCGGTCGATTTTTCAATGCCAACGTTCTGACCACAAATGTGCACCCACTTTTCACGCAAATTTACGCCTCTTGGCAAATCAAACGCATCAGACGCACAAACTTGTTCCAATCACAAAGCACTTCATATTATATCATAAATTTGTAATAAATGAAAATTTATAATTAAAATCGCTGCAGAAAACACATAAAATCGCTCAAATATCACCACGAAGAGGTAGAAGACGATGTAAACAGAACCAAAAACGCTACGAAAACTTTTTTCTTAAAATCGATTACAAATACAACGATGGCGGATTTCGTGATCTGTAGTCGTTGGTTCATGCTGCAAATCGTAGACGTTCTGGAACGCACTAATACGGAATTTACATGAGGCGATTTTTCAGGCGATTTTTAGTTGAAACCAACAATCGCCTGGTGTAAACGGCCTTTCAGCTAATCCCTTTCAATGAAGTTGGTCGGCTGCCTACTTTCGTTCAACTTTTGGTTCAACTAATCGTCTGTGAAAGTTGAATCATGTAAATTCCCTATCAGCCCAATTCTGAATATTCCCGAGGATTTCATTTCTCGCGGATTTTACTTTTCTCGAGAATAAAACCCTCCTATTCGAAATTGCCAGGGAGCAGCATTTTCTCCGAAAATTTGGGAACAGGAAATTCGAACTTTCGAAGAGCCGTTTGACAGTTATTTTGACAGCTCAACTCCCGCATTTTAATTTGCGTGTTTAACACATAAAAGTTGTTTCACATAAAAGAGTATTTCAGATTAAAGTTGTTAATAAATTAGTGCGCGGAAATTTCAAATCTGTGTTTTAAATTAAAGCTCAATCTTTTAACTTGAAGGATTTTAATTTAGATCGCGCGTTTTCTTGTAATAACCGAAATAAGTGGGCAAATAGGATAAGAGTACCCTTTGCTAAGTCCAGTTGCCACTGTGAATTTTGGAAGCCACATTATTAATAAACTAGTGCTCCGGAAATTAAAATAATAGGGCCTGTGGCAATCAGTAACTTTTTTCTCCGTGGTGGGACGGGGTGAAAACATTTGCTACGGTGTAGTACAATTAAATTGAATTTTTCTGTGCCAAATGCAAAGTAAAATTTTGACAGTTGAAAAACCAAACAAACGCTCGTGCGAAAGCTTTATTTTTGTGTGTTGCTGAAATTCTTAAAATTTATATTTATTTTATAATTTGCAAGTAACGTAAGCTTTTTTTATGCTGTTTCAGCTTTCATTTTCATGTTCACTACATGGTTATAAGCTGTCAAAATTTTACCTAGCCCCATGAGCTAGGTAAAATTTTGACGTTCGTATTCACCACGAGAAGTGTCAAATTTTTACTTTGATCCGTCAAAATTTTCTATTTTCTATCAATTGGCACAGGGCCTTAGTGCTAAATTAAAACTTAGGGCCGGTTGCTCAAAGCCCGGTTGACACTAATCCCCGGTTAAACATCGTTATCGACGTTACCGAAACCTTGTTATATGCATGGAGTCGAAAACGTCGATAAAGATGTTAACCAATGATTAGTGTCAACCAGGCTTTGAGCAACCGGCCCTTAAGCTGAAATTAGTCGAGAACGCAGAACGTATACTTAAACGCAGTCTGTATACGCAGAATTTTGTCGATTACTGGAGCCCTCAGTGTTGCTTACTACACTGTTGCCACTCATCAATGCCTTTTCATAAACTTACCCTTTCAACTACAATTTTTCGTGCTATAATAGATTTTAGCTAAATATAAACTACTTAGTTTTCAACATAAACCTTATTCAATAGTAAATTTCAAATATTTTAAACATATTTTGAGTAGGTACTTATATTTTTTTTACCATCTGTAAAACTGACGAACTGGCAACCATCTAAAGAAGGAGAAATCAGCTGACACGGAAAAATCTAAATTCCGCAGATTTCTGCGCTACGGGCTACAACTACAGAAAAATTCTGCGGTGTTGAGTTTTCATTTACATGGCGCTTTGGTAAGACAGATCGTGTCAGCTGACTCGGGTTTACGTACCGGTAGGTTTACGTTCTTGACTAATTTCAGCTTTAGGGCCGGTTGTTCAATGTCTGGTTATCACTACTTTCCGGTTAAACATCATTATCGACGATTTCGACATCATGCATATAACATGTGATCGATATAGCAGTCGTTGTATCTAACCGGAGCTACTACCTCCGATTTGTGCTAATCAGACATTGAACAACCGGCCCTTAGTCTTTCGAATTTCGATACCTACTTATATCGATAATTTTTCATCCTTTTATATGCAACATAGCGAAAGTAATTTTCAGGGTTATCTGTGACATACCTTTTGCGACACCTGAGTGGAAGGTCGACCTATCTCGGCAACCAGTTCGAAAACGCCCTATCGCAGAAAACTTTTCCAGAAACCTTATTTCAGAATTCGGTCCAAAAACGCCCTATCTCAGTTGTCGATTCAAAACGCCCTATAACAAATATTTTCAATATATTTTCAGTAGCACTAGAAGTAATACGATTACTTATATGGTAGACAGACGGAGAAAATTAATTTGAATCAATAAGCATATATGTAAATTAAAATTTTACCCTTACAGACGGCAGTAATGCGAATATACCAGCCGCAGGGTCGTGGGTTCGAGTCCCACGGCCAGTATACTTTTTTTATTTCCATTTCATTATTTTTTTTTAAGTTCTATATTTTTTTTACGTTACTTTCAGTTAGTTGTTGTTGAATTTTCAACAAAATTCATCCCTAAAAATTTAAATTAACTAATAGTAAAATAAGAAATGTGATATAAAATAAAGCAAATGAAAATAAAATAAAGTAAAATTAAATAACTCGACTGCTTCGTTTGCTTACTTGTACAAAAGACAACAACTGGCCGTTTTTACCAGTGTTGTCATCGAAAATTCCCCGGATCCGAGTTAATTCCCAAAAATTTCGTGCATTTGTTCGGCTGCTTATGCTCATTTTAAAGAGGCAAATGCATGAGTTAAAGCAAATTAAGGCTGGTTATGCAAATAATCGAGCCCGTTTGTCTACCGTATTAGACAAAAAATTCAACCTTTGAAAGGTTCCCACAAAACTTTACGGCTACAAAGCATTGCTTGCACTTTGCTGTGGTATTACTAAAGCTGAAATTAGTCGAGAACGCAGAACGTATACTTAAACGCAGTCTGTATACGCAGAATTTTGTCGATTACTGGAGCCCTCAGTGTTGCATACTACAATGTTGCCACTCATCAATGTATTTTCATAAACTTACCCTTTCAACTACAATTTTTCGTGCTATTATAGATCGTAGCTAAATATAAACTACTTAGTTTTCAACAAAAACCTTATTCAATAGTAAATTTCAAATATTTTAAACATATTTTGAATAGGAACTTACATCTTTTTTACCATCTGTAAAACTGACGAATTGGCAACCATCTAAAGAAGGAGAAATCAGCTGACACGGAAAAATCTAAATACCGCAGATTTCTGCGCTACGGGCTACAACTACAGAAAAATTCTGCGGTGTTGAGTTTTCATTTACATGGCGCTTTGGTAAGACAGATCGCGTTGCCATAAGTGAAGATTTATCTTCAAAATGAAGATTTCCTTGGATCTTTTTTGTTATAAATCTTCGAATGAAGATTTTTCAGATATCCAAAAATTGCACTGAAAAAATCTTCAAAATGAAGATTTTTATATTGACAAAAAGATTTTTCTTTTATGTCGACTACATACTACGTTTTCGAAAAAGTACTATACAACTCTAAAATTTTTGTCAGTGTACTCTAAGTGAAATTTTTCATGCTGCACGCCCTGTATTAAAAACGTCAATATGGGTAGTAACTTCACTTTAACCAAATGACAGGTGTCAAGTGCGATGCCATTTTGAATAACGAACACTAAGAAATGGAAAAGTTTATAACAATCACGAGGAAAAGAAAAGGTAATTATGTTTAGCAAGTTTACCTGTTATATTTAGTAGTGTATATACTCAATGAAAGTATTATGAATATATTGTGAATGTGATTTCCTATTTTAGAAGAAACTTCTGCAAATACCGAAGGAGGGATTGAACGAGACGCTGCCGCTGAGGAATACGTAGAGGTAGATTTTTCATAAAAAGAAAAAATACGCTTTGTTGACTGTAGTTTTGTTTATAAAGCGATCTAAAACAAAGAGGAGATCTTTTAACGCACATTGGGGAGATGATGAAGAATTTAAGAAGTGGTTAATAACAGGAGCGCACGGCTTACCGCGTTGTAAAGTATGTGGCGTCGATCTTAAAGCATCTGGAGGAAAAAAGGATTTAACTGCGCATGCAAAGACCACCAAACATATTGAAAATTCAAATGCAGTTAATATACACAAGGGAAGCAAAGAAATTATAGAAGGCATTCCGCGAGCAACGTTTTTTGCTGAAATAAAAGTTGCGGCTTTTTGTGCAGAGCATAATATAGCCTTCACCAGCATGGATCATCTTTCACCTCTTATAAATAACACATTTTTAGAGTCGAAAGCGGCACAAAACTTCGCTTGTCGGCGTACAAAAACAACAGCTTTAATAAAAAATGTACTGGGGAAATCACAGCTGGACCACCTTCTGCAAAATATGCGTTGTAAACATTTTTCTTTGTGCGCAGATGAGTCTACGGACATATCGACATCAAAATTATTGTGCTTAGTTGTGAAAATTGAAGAAAATGGTAATGTACAAGATTTTTTTCTGACATGTTTGAAAATCACTAAAGCCAACGCGGAAAGTATATATGACTCAATAGTTAAATTTTTTAATGAAAATAATGTTGACTATAAGAAATGGTTATTAGGCTTTGCTGCTGACGGGGCTAGTGTGATGACTGGTGGAAAACACTCAGTCGCCACATTATTAAAAAAAGATTGCCCACATCTGTTTGTTATGAAATGCACCTGCCATTCTTTAGCCTTATGTTCAAGTAAAGCATGTGCACAGCTACCTTTAGAGGTAGAAAGTACGGTTAGGGATATTTACAATTTCATAGCTAACAGTCCAAAACGAATACATATATTTTCATCTTTGCAAGAGCTTTTTGACTTAAAACCTCTAAAATTGTTGCATCCGAATCAAACCCGTTGGCTCTCTTTAGAAGCAGCAGTCGTAAGAGTACTCGATCAGTTAGATATAATTCAACTTTTTTGCCTTCACGAGGAAGTTGAAAAATTTCAGGCAACTTTAAGAATTCTTGAGAATTTACGCAAACCATTATTTAAAGTATACTTGACGTTTCTTAAGTACATTTTGAAGGAAATCAATAAACTTAACAAATTATTCCAAAGTGAGTCACCGAAAATTCATTGTCTTAACGAAGAACTAAATAATCTCTTTATGAAATTCTTAGATTCTTTTATATATATTGAAAATATTGACTTACTATCTCTGCGGCGTTTATATAATAACTCGGAATATATAAAGCCAGTAAATGAATTATATTTTGGAGCTGACACAGAATTGTTATTTAACGATTTGAGCTCAGCACAAAAATTAGAATTCTCACATAATGCGTTAAATTTTTATGTGGTTTTGTGTAATGAGATGCTTTGCCGATTCGATTTCACTGATAAAACCTTGAAAGGAGTGGAAATGTTGTCTCCTAAAAATGTTATAAGTAAAAAGCATTCGTCAATTATAAGTATATTTCAACACTTTCCAACTCTCAAAGTGAATAACATTCAAGATTTAGATTCTGAATGGAGAGAACTACGAACTTTTGATTTCAAAAATCGTGACTTATCTGAAGCGACAGATATAGAGACATTCTGGAAAGTAATTTTAAATTCAAAAAGAATGGATGACTCGCCTTCCTTTCCATTATTACAAAAATTAATTTGGTCTGTTTTAACAGTACCTGTATCAACGGCTAACGTCGAGAGAATATTTTCCCAAGTCAATTTAAACAAAACATCGATTAGAAACAAACTAGATGTGGAAACATTAAACGGAATTTTATATACAAAAGATTATTTAAAAAGAAACCAGATCAATTGCCACAATATGCCATTTGATATTAATTTGCTTTCATATATTAAAAACGACATATACTCTAATTGATAGATTAAGTCATTTTCTACGTGAATATGTATACATAAATCGGTCGTTTTCTTTTTTTTTAATATATTGTTTATTTTTACAGTATGGAAACTAATTTAAACACGTAACAATCTAGCTAGTTTAGCTCTTTTATTTTTATATATGCATACATTAGTACATATGAAATCCATACATACGTTTATACATTTGTATCTGATAAGTATACGATTTAAATTATAAAAACTTGAAAATATACCAATATCATTTCATTTTCATGGGTTCATGGGAAGTGAAGATTTTTGGCTGTGAAGAAGATTTTGTTTTCATTAAAATCTTCAAATGAAGATTTTTTTTTGACAAAAATGAATATTTTTCGACCACTTCCTCTGGCAACACTGAAGACAGATCGTGTCAGCTGACTCGGGTTTACGTACCGGTAGGTTTACGTTCTTGACTAATTTCAGCTTAACTTGGTAAAAATATATCCATACTTTAGATTTTGGCGGTGCCATTGCTTTAAGCAATTATTTTTCATAAAAATGAAGCAATTCAGGTAGGTTCTGCAATTCACTTTCGAGAGTATTTCAATCAAACTCGCTTTGAATTCAAATTGGCAGGGGTTGAAATTCGCTCGGAAGTTAATTGCAGAACCTGCTCGATTATTTTCCATAGAAAAAATATGGCCGACAAGATATGGCTGTTGCTCAAATCGATTCGATAAAAGTACTTTTCTTTCGATGCCAAATAGGTATCGAAACAACGATTCGAGTAAAAGAAATTGTTGGTATCGAAACAAAGGTATCGAGTACATACTTATTAACTTGTATCGGAACTGTATCGGAACATCCCTAACTGTGACCGATTCCAACCATTGCTATTGGTCAACGAGGGAAATAAAATAAAAATAGTGAGGGTGGCTAGAAAATGCAAAGATTTTCTGATATGGCAAAAATAATTATTTGAATCAATCGCTGCTTAACGTGGTTACGAAGGACGGTGAGAATATAAGGCGAGAAAACTTTTCTTTCGATGCCAAATAGGTATCGAAACAACGATTCGAGTAAAAGAAATTGTTGGTATCGAAACAAAGGTATCGAGTACATACTTATTAACTTGTATCGGAACTGTATCGGAACATCCCTAACTGTGACCGATTCCAACCATTGCTATTGGTCAACGAGGGAAATAAAATAAAAATAGTGAGGGTGGCTAGAAAATGCAAAGATTTTCTGATATGGCAAAAATAATTATTTGAATCAATCGCTGCTTAACGTGGTTACGAAGGACGGTGAGAATATAAGGCGAGAAAACTTTTCTTTCGATGCCAAATAGGTATCGAAACAACGATTCGAGTAAAAGAAATTGTTGGTATCGAAACAAAGGTATCGAGTACATACTTATTAACTTGTATCGGAACTGTATCGGAACATCCCTAACTGTGACCGATTCCAACCATTGCTATTGGTCAACGAGGGAAATAAAATAAAAATAGTGAGGGTGGCTAGAAAATGCAAAGATTTTCTGATATGGCAAAAATAATTATTTGAATCAATCGCTGCTTAACGTGGTTACGAAGGACGGTGAGAATATAAGGCGAGAAAACCTAGAACCAAAAGGCAAAGGTGCATCGATATAGAAATTAAAAGTACAAGGTTTGTGGCTTTCATCCAAGTTATGTGTAGAAATGTACATGCATATGTACGAACTTGTTGCAATTGTTTAATTATTGGTTCACGTATGTATGCAGAGGTTAGCCGCAAAGAGCGTCACAATAGCCATGGAACCTCATTGCACATTTCATCCATGTGATGAAGCTGTGATTGCTACTAACGACGACGCTAGCGATTGTAAGCGATTTGCCGTTCGCTTGGGTTATTGGAAAGACGACTATATTGGATATTTTGTGCGCAATCAAGATCGAAAGGCACCTGAAATTAATCGCGGTTATTTTGCCCGAGTAAAAGGAGTTGAGATGTGTATAGAGAAGTTCCTCAAGGTAAGTGTCTAAAATCAGCTAGATTTTAATTTGAAAAGATACAGATATTAGTTGTGTTTTCGTATTCTCCAGCAAAAAATTACCAGTAACTTTCCAGTAACCAAATTTCGGAGAGTAAGCCAATATTTACTCCCAATGAGAGAAATATGCAAGAAAGCACGAAAACGCAAAACCAGCAAGAAGTTGCAAGTTTTATGAACAGCTGATTAATTTGGTATTTTCCGACGCAATTTTCTAAGAAAAATAGTATTTCCCATCTTAATATATATTTAAATAGGTTTATTTTGTCATTTGCAACTCTAAAAGCACCACAAAATTCTTTTGGTAGTGTGAATTGCATTCATTGCAGCATCATGCCATCAGCTGTTTTTCTTACTAGTAAAAATTTATCTAGTAAAAATCCAGTAAAACTTGCAAGTTTAGCTGTCATTTTTGCTCTCTCAATTCTCCCCTTTTGCTGGTTTCTTGCAAGTTTTTGCTTACGAAAACGCCTTCTACTAAAAACCAGTAAAATTAGTGCTGGATTTTACTGGATAGTGTGTACGCGAACAGAACTTTTTACATGCTTGGCCCGATTATAGCTGAAACAATACCGGCGTACAGCAAGCTTCCTCGAATTGGGCGAAGCTGTCGTTCACCGTTCGCCCAAGCGTCAGGGCTGCCAACCATACTTAGCAATGAAGTGCCATATTGAGCACAAAAAAGTGCCAAAATGTGCCAAATAGACAAAAAAAGGGTCAAAAAGGTGCCATTATTTTTAATTCTTCCCATTTAGCATTGATATTAGAAACACATTCTTAAAACAATAGTCCAATGCCGAAGTAAGATAAACCAGTTGTATACGCTATAAAAATTAGACAATTTTAGTTGAGAAAAATAAGTACACGCAAAGGATTTCACAAAAATGTATTTAAATATTACTATTTTGGAAAAGTGCCATTTTGGCACTTCGCGCCAAATTGAAAAATTAAGTGCCATTTGAAGTAAAATATGGCTCAAAATGGCACGGTTTGAGCCAAGTTTGCAGCCCTGCCCAGCGTTGCCGAAAGCTTTCTCTGAAAAATTGTGAATTTACCCATAAAAAAAGTTAAAATTTTATTTATCCCCCTATTATGAATTTTCATATGAAAGACGAAAGACGATAACGCTTGCAAGCGTGTCGTATAAATATAGATTTTGTATTATAGGCCCTTAATATCAGTTGCATTTGGCTATCGAAGATCGAAAGTGAAATTTGTATTATGCGCTATGCAAGCGTGTCGAAATTTTCGTTGAGTATCGAATTTTCTGTCAGAATTTAGCTTTCGTTGGTGTAGCGAAGTGTTAGAAAATTGTGAACAATTATGATTTTGCATTTGTTTTCTTACCTTTTGGCGGCTAGACACCAATTTGGAAAATTTTTTATTAATTTGATGCAGTTCTCCAGATGCTCCTGGCCAGTTTTCTAAGCTCTCATCCTCTGACGAATCGTTCAACCAGAACTCCGCTGTACTCATTTTTACCACGATTTTATAAACTCGCTTTCTTTTATATTTCGTTTTTGTTTGCACAAATTTGCATAAATATGTATAGGCACACTATTTATTTATTGCATCATGAACCACATTTCCTTCAACTTCAATTGTGTTTTATATAAATTCAAATTGATAAAACTCGCATAGAGGATACAGTAAGAAGGCAATTGACAGATGCTTCCAATCCTCTGGAGAAGAACTCGATAATGTAAGTAACTTAATAAGTTTTATTTGTTAATTATTAAAAACAATTCTTTAGATTCCAGAGAAACTTTCGACTTTTGTATGCTGTTACAACAACAACAACTTTCGAAAGAAGCTGTTAAATATGTTCTAACAGAAGTAGAGAAGGAGCCAGGGATCATACCAACAGAGTGTTGCAACGAGGCGTTATTGGATTACCCCAACCTAAGGTTTCTACTGTGTTTATATGTACGCTCATATTCATTCCCATGACTCAGGTTTTACCCGACCAAGGGCTGTTGTTTCGGCGACCTAACAGCGCATAGATCGGCGATACCCTTCAATAATTTTTCGTCCATGGAGCAACTCCTTGCAGCCGGTTTGCTCCGCATCCTTCTTCTCCGGGTGGGCGTTGAGCCCAACCCCGGACCAGAAACATATTTCTGGTGTGTTTGCCAGAATCGATTCCATCCGAACACCACTTCGGTTAGGTGCAACTCATGCAACGGATGGAGTCACCCAAGAACCTGCTCTGGGCTTGGGTCTCACGGAGAGTGGGTCACAAGCTATGTGGCTCCCTGCTGCACAAGCCAACGCAAAATGCTCCCAACACTCGAAGAGCCTACACGGCTCCTAGGAGCTCCCCTGGGCAGCAGCAAACCTCCCAACGGACTCCAGAGCAAGATTGAGGAGTATTGTTGTCTTTATGGGTCGGCATGGCATATTGATAGCTGCGGTCCAAAAACGAAGTTGCAGAGCAACTCAACTCTGTTAGGTTGCGCCGCCTACAATGTGCTCCGTAAAGATCGCGAGCGGATTAGCGTTCATCATACAACACACAGTGCAGTATCGGCTTATCGAAGAAGACATCGACCCGAGGGACACCACCCTAGAATGTCAGGGCATAGCTGTCCAGTCAGGCGATGTCGAGCTCGAAATATTTAACGTCCACGATTGAGATAAATAGAGATTGTGTCGATCGCGGTACCTCTAATCCAGAGGTGGGCATTTTTTGATTTGTAATTGGGCTTCAAAATGCTGCTTGCTGCGACGTCGACACATGTATACTATCATCGTCTTCGTGCGTCTTACGATAATTGACGATTGACTGATGCTTCGCTGGTATTTCGGCAAAGCAAATCAAATCAGTTGCTGTTGAGAGTGTTCGGATGGACAAAGTTTTCTTAGTGGTAAATAAGCATGAAAAATTGTGGTACATTCCAAAACAATGTGGTACATTCAAATAAATAAATTTATAAATATGTTATATGCACTTATGGTCAGCTGATTAAGTTAAGTGACATTTTGACCAGCTTTGGCTAATTACATTTTTTGTTTATTTATTGTTTATCTTTTTTTTTGCTGACGGTGCTAGGCATTTTCTTCCATATAAAGAAATTGCCAATCATTAAAAACCAACACGATTTTTAGCGCTTGAAATTTGCACTTTTAGCTACTAAATTTTAATGGGCTATAAAACTGCATACCTAAAACTTTTCTAGAAATTCTAAATAAAAAGCCACAGCGACAGAATAAGATGCCTTTTTTTTAGAAATGATCTATCATTTTCTGATAGAGAATGATTTTCTGATAGACATTGATAATTTTCGTGTTGATGTATATTACTTTCACCAACCCTAAATTTAATAAAGAACGCTGCTTTTAATTCTAAAAGCTTCTTCGATCACCCTCTTTCACCTTTTTAAAATGACTATGACACAGTTTGTTTTGTCTTTTTAAACAAGACATAACATTGCGACTCATAACGCGAAAGCAAATCACGCATTGCGCATACCAATCCATGTTTTCTATGCAAAAAAAATGTATTTCCCATTCCTCCCGAAACATTTTATGTGTGCATTATTCGAATCTCAGTATATCCAGTAAACAAACTTAGCTATTTTTTTCACCAAGTTTGGTCCCCATAAAGGACTAGTGTTGCAAGCAACGCTTTTTCGGCAATTAGGGTGTTGTGCAGCTATTTATTGTGGTGAAAATTATTTAAGCACTGGAGAGATTTATTCACATGGAATTGGAGATAGGGCTGATAGATTTATTTTAAATAAATTGTGAATCTGCGAAAATATCTTTTCAGCAGATGAATATACTTTTTAACCTTTCTCCCGAAAATTTACATACAGGCTCGAAAATATGTAAGTAACATTCAAATATCGTCGCTTGGATCGAAAATTGGCGGAAGCGTCATTTTGACAATTTGTGGTTTTTGGATATCTTCTTTAGTTTCCGAGTAATTGACTAAAATGTTTCCGGTTATTTGGTACAAATTGCGTTAGTATTGCTGTCGTACTAAACTAATCAAAATCTTTCAAATAGAGTTATCTGTTCTTCTTTAGTTTCCGACATATTCAGCTTTATCATGAGTTTCATTTTCTAGAACCGGGTCAATTTTTACTTTTCGTTTGCGTGTATTCACTACAGGTGGATGAAAAAACTGTTGGCGAAATTTGGTTCGGGCGAAACTCACGATTAGGCTGATTAGTAAAAAGTATCGTTAATTTATAAAAATTGTTATCACATTTGGGAGTATATCATTGAAACTGACTGCAAATTTTTTGACAAATTCGTATACGACAAAATTTTATTAAACTCATAAATGGTTGACACTAAACTAAAAAAATAAGAAAATTTAAGAATTTCATGAACTAGTACATAGCATTCTCCGACACTTTGGAGAAAATCTGTAGTCTAGTTCCTGAGAAATTGCATTCCAAACTTCAATTGTGAGTTACCGAAAGTAACTTGTGACAATCTTTTATCCAGGCGACGATATAATATTTACCTAAAATATGCGTCTAAATAGATTATAATTGTCATTATTTTCGCAGTTGGAGTATATGCCAGACGAGTAACAGGTATACAAGTATACCTAAATTAGCGCTTGAGCTTGTATATTTATCTCTCTCTAACTCATTAATTCTATATACGTCAGCACCAACGCCCGACAAAGTTATGTCCGTATTTAATAATGGCCCTATGACAAAATATTCATGAAATGTATTCGTAGATTTTTATTTACTTTCATTTCATATATTAGTATTGAGATGAATGATTTTTACTAAATACCAGGAATAAATATTTAATAAAAAACTATTTCATTTAAGCTTAACCAACTTTTAGTTGCTCGGAGCTAATTTTGGAACGCTTCATGAAATATTTTCATAGACAGTAAATGCAACCCTGGGTGCATCATTAACGAGCTGAAAAACCAAACAAATAAAAAAATTCCATCTGAACCAATATTCCCAAAAATTATAAAGCAAAACAAAAGCCATTTTTCCAATTTATGCACTGTTATTTTTATTATTGCAATACAATTTCGCAGCTCTTCAAACATTTTCCACATTATGCTTTTAGGGCTAGTAGTTTCCGACCCCATTTGCTCGTTTTTTTTTCAATTCTGAATTTAGGCTAGGCTTCATGGGAACTTACTGTGGGTGCAAACAGACCACATTTTGTAAACTGAATTGTGATATTTAATTTTATTTTATAATGAAAAATGAATTTAATGTGCAATTTTTTAAGTTTACTAGATGTAAGACAACTTTTAATTTTCTTTATATATTGCATGCTTTAGTTTTAATTCTGTTTAAGTTAAGTTGTAAAGGTGAAAATAGGCCTCCTGGGCAACCGAGCACATTAAAAAAAAACGGTAACGCGCGTAAAAGCATACCTCACAAGTGGTGTGGAAAATGCAAGAACAAATATAAATGGAATAATTTTCGAAATTATGAAATGGTTATTGGTATTTTCCATCTCAAAGGTGGTGATTAATTTGAACGTTATTTAAGCTGCCTTTACACGGTCGATTTTTGTCGTTTAACCAAAATCTACCCGTGTAAATTGCAATTCAACCGTAAAATGTAAGCGTTTTGGCTAGTCGATATCTTAAGTAAATTTTCCAGTCGACAGAAATCGACCCGTGAAAAGGCAACTTCAGGAATTTTTTAATTTTCTTTTTTTTTTTTTTTGGTGGGCGTCTTTTGAAGATGTGCCAAATTATATTGTCGACTTAAATACAAAACAACAATTTCTTTAAGCCATCTTGTGCAGCAATTTGTTGATCTTATCCTCACGGCTACCGAAATCACCAACCTCAACGTAGTGATTAGCCTTCTTGCGCCAGCCTCGGGTTGATGTGTTGAGCTTGAATAGCAACAGGAAGTTGGGGGCTTTCTTGAAGTGAAGTGAATCAACGCATTGAATTTCGTGCGCTTCGCGAAATTTGCGTTCGATCACAAAGCAGAGATTGGGACACGCTTGACCATTCCACGTTTGTACATCAATTCACAAACTGATTTAAGATTTGGATAACCCCATATAGGGGGTTCGGCATACGTAGCATATTAATGGTTGCCTTGCTCAATTTGATGAACACATCGTTTTAATGTGGCGAAGACAGAACTGTAAAACTACGCACTTTTTGTGCAACTTTGTTGATACCGCGGATGCGGATCACAAAAGCCAATTTGGATTTTTCAGGCCCGTCGAATTGGCCGCATTTCTTTGCCACACAGCGTTACTCCATCTCACGGCGTCCATCACGGAGTTTTCTTGTTTGATATTTCTCAGCATGCACCAAGTTTTCACATTTACGGAGTGCAATCACAGCAGAGCGCTTTAGTTTACGTTTGATCAGGGTAGCAATTTGCTGACCTGCTCTTGCTGAACTGCAGCTTCGGCTCGGGGACAGGAGGCAGCTTCCTGGAAGGTTGTCTGCCCTTTGCTTGCGGTTTCTTACCGGCCCATGATGGCAGTCATCTTAACTTGTTACTTAGCACGTTGAAAAGGCGAAAAAAAGTTCGCCAAATGTTTGGAGCACATCGTAAATGAGCCACTCGATTTATAACATTTCTATAAACAATTTAATTAAATACTTTTTATACATAGATATGCTGCAACCATGCACTTACTTTCCCAAATTCCATCCTGCTTATCGGCATAATTTTCCAAATATGCCTGCTACTTCATTACTAATTACTAAATTTTCCAACTGCGCCTTCTTTGTTGGCTCGACATATCCTAAAAAGACAAATTTACATTAAACAATAGAAATCGCAAAAATTAGCAAATAAAATACTCGCTTTGTTTTGTTTTGTTGTCAAATTTCTGAGAAATGTGAATTCACCACGATGCGATACAGAAAGAACAAGGACCAGGGATGTAATTTTAAGTAAACGTATTATTCAGGGGCAAGGCGCAGAGCGTTCGGGGCAGCAATATAAATTTGTATCAAATATTACATTAAACGGTGGTTCTAATACATTTTTTGATATTATTAACCAGAGTACATACATTATATGGTATTTCTTTCAAAAATTAATGTACTATATGAACTTTTTTTTCAAATATTTCTTAAGTTTCTTTCATGAGTGCTGAAAAGCAACCATGCGTGTAAGAAATTGTGTGCTACCTAAAATTTCTCATCTTTATCCCCATAAAGGACTTCACCACAGGTTTTTTACTGGATATACTGAGATTCGAATAGTTGCGCAGTGAAGTCTCAGCAGCAACTGATTTGATTTGCTTTCCCGAAGTGCTAGCAAAGCATCAGTCAATCGTCAATTATCGTAAGACGCACGAAGACAATCATATCATCCATATGTCGACCAGTGATCGGACTTAAAAAAAAATTTGTGTGGTAGAATCTGGAAAAAATGTGGTAGATTTCAAAAAAATGTAGTAGATCTTTGGTTTTGGATCAAACTTTGTACAAAAATTAAAAATATTTTGCAAGGTTTCACCAAAATTGCAAACATTTTAATTAGAATCTAAAAAAACTTAATTTTATTACAATAAAGTGCAAGATTGAAGTTGCTAAAAATTCCCTTGAGTTTTGGCAATTTTTTTCCTTGACCGTGTAGAGCAGTTCCTTCCATATCAAGATATTTTTTGAACATATTTTGCGGAGTGCTGCCAGCTTTTTTTTTTATCACATCGTGATGTAGCGGACAAATGTGGCACATTCCAGAAACCGCTACTTGGGATTTGACAATTCTCAAGTAAAAGTAAACAACGCTTTAGAAACTTTAGATGCACTGAAATTTTCTAATACTTTCACAAAAATCGCCGTTTTTTAACATTTTCGCTATTAATTCTTTTTTATAAATCATATATTTTGCAATTTAGCACAATAAAACCATGTTTCCTGTCGAAAAATTGAATATTAAGAAAATTTACTATTTTACGGTTTATTTTATCCTCCAATTCTGCCTGGTTGTTGTTGTTGTAGCAGCAGTGCTCAACCCCCCAGATTTGTCATGTATCGTCGTCTTCATCCTCCGACTCTGTAAGCCTGAGGCCGACAAAGCGGGCTGCGTCGATAGGCGCGGTCCAGAGCGCTTCTGGTGTCAGGGTCGTAGGGTTGGAGGTGCACGTGAAGAGGTGCTGGGTGTCGTGGGGACCTTGCCCACATGCAGGGCATGTGTTTGCCACTTGTGTGTTCAGCCGGGAGAGGTAGCAGTTAAGTCGGTGACACCACCCAGAACGGAGTTGTGCTAGGGTGCACCTGGTCTCTCTCGGCAGCTCTATTTCCTCTGAATCTATGGGCGGCGGTCGACCGCCCAAGACGATGTTGTCATTGCGCGTACTGAGGCTCGTTCTGACCGCATCGCTGTGTAGGCTGTTGAGCGCCGCTCTGTATGTTGCTGCGTCGAATGGATGGTCTACGTACGGCTCAATGTCTGCCTTCCAGTCGTGCAGGTGTCGTCTCACGTGTCGTGGGGGCGGTTCGTTACGAAGCAAGGCATTGTTGGGGTGATTCCCTCGGTGACAGCCTACGAGGTATTGCTTCGACAGCATGGTGTTGTGCTCTTTCACCGCCAGCATCTGGCTTTCTTCATGTAGGTGATGCTCGGACGACATGAGATGACAACCTGTAGCCGTACGTAGAGCTGCATTCTGGCAGGTTTGGAGGTTCCTCCATCGGGTGTCGCTTGTCCCCGCCGTCCACACTGGTGCCGCGTAGTTAGCCACTGACCGGCCGATTGCCTTGTAGGTCGCGAGCAGGGTTTCTTTATTGGCTCCCCAGGTGCTGCCGGCTAGCGATTTTAGGACTTTGTTCCTGGCTCGCAGTTTGTTGCATGTGGCTGTGGCGTGCGCGGAGAAGGAGAAGAGGCTATCGAACGTCACTCCTAGGATTTTAGGGTGGTTGGTCGTCGGTATTTTGGCGCCATCGACGAAGACGTCCAGTTCTAGCCCCACCTCCTTGGTCCAGGTTGTAAAAAGTGTGGCGCTGGATTTTGCGGCGGAGATTTGGAGGCTCCTTGCAGTGAAGAAATTGGAAAGATCGGTGAGATAGTCGGTTATTTGTTCGCAAAGTCTGTCTATGTTGGGGCCAGTTGCCATTATTGTGCAGTCATCGGCGTAGCTTACCAAGTTTACTCCTGCTGGCGGCGGAGGGAGTTTGGCCATGTAGAGATTAAACAGTGTCGGGGAGAGTACGCCGCCTTGGGGGACCCCCTGTTTAATTCTACGCGGCTTAGACTTGGCGTTTCGGAATTCGACCGATGACTGACGACCACACAGATAGCTGGTTATCCACCGTTTCGTCCGAGCTGGAAGCGACGAGTCCAGGATGTCTTGGCAGAGGGTCGCGTGGTTCACCGTGTCGAAAGCCTTCGACAGGTCCACAGCGACTAGGACCGTCCTATCACAGGGTCGACGTTGGTTCAGACCCTCGCTAATCTGTGTGGTAATGGTGTTTAATGCTGTTGTCGTGCTGTGCATTTTCCGGAATCCATGTTGGTGTTCGGCTAGCTTCAGATGCTTCGTCAGGCTGGGGAGGAGTAGTGCTTCCATGGTTTTTGCCACTGGGGATAGGAGGGAGATGGGTCTGTACGAGTCTCCTGCGTCCGCCTTCTTCCCTGGCTTAAGGAGGGGAATGATCCTACCCATTTTCCACATCTCGGGGATGATCAGGGTGGACAGTGACAAGTTGAAAGCGGCGGTCATATACTCGACTCCCGCAGGTCCTAGCTTTTTCAGCATCTGCATGGAAATTCCGTCTGGGCCTAACGCCTTCGATGACTTGGCGTGGTTGACAGCTGCCTGCGTCTCTTCGATGGTGAAGCACAGTGGTGTGTCTCGGGGGCGGAGTTTGTGTGCTTTCCGTAGCACGCTGCGGCGGGTTTTGTCTCTCTCTGGGTGTGCAATGAATTGCCGGCTGAAGAAGCGCGCGCACGACCGCGGATCCGACGTGGTGGTGGTGCCGAAGGTGAGAGCGACATTGTCTCTACGCTTCGTCGGATTGGAGAGGGACTTGACTGTGGACCACAGTTTGCTGGCTCCGCTTGAGAGGTTGCAGGATTTTAAATGCTCATTCCATTTGTTCCGCTTGTGTTCGTTGACCAGGTTTCTAATGTCCCTATTGAGATCTCTTATACGGGGATCCCCTGGATTAGCCTGGCGGATTCGATCACGCTCGTCTGCGAGTCCCGCCGCTTCAGTGGGGAATCCTGGGCGGATTTTGGCGATCCGGCCGGCTGGTATGAAGCGAGCGGCTGCTGCGTTGATGATCCTGCGGATATTGCGCTCTGCTACGCGCGCGCATGATGGTAGAGGAAGAGCATTGAATTTGCGATCTGTGAATTCCGTGAAACCGTCCCAGTTCGCCTTCCGTGTGTTCATGAATGTCCGGTTCTCGGATGTCATAAAATCTCTTGGCTGGTCTATGGCGACTACTATGGGCAGGTGGTCTGATGCGAGCGTGAGCACTGGTTGCCATCCAATGCAGTTTATCAGACCCCCGCTTGCTATAGTTATATCTGGCGAGCTATAGCAGTCACCCGCGACCCTGGTGGGGGCATCATCATTCACAGTGCAGAACGTGGAGTCGTCAATTTGCTCAGCGAGCATTGTACCCCGCTGGTCATTGCCCAGATTGGAGTGCCAGAGTTCGTGGTGCGCATTGAAGTCGCCTAGCACTACCCGGTTCACACCCTCTAATAGCGCACTTATGTTAGGGTGGTATCCAGCTGAGCAACTGGTGGCGGGTGGTATGTATACATTGACGATCTCCAGCTCCGTATCCCCCGACTTGATGGCCAAGCCTTGACATTCGATGAATGTATCGTTGGAGTCAGTTCGGGGGGTAATGAGCCGGTATTGAACCGCGTTATGCAATATGAAGGCAATGCCGCCTCCGGTGCCACGGGGGCGGTCTCTTCGGAGTACGTTGAACTCGTCCTGGCTCTGAAGGCTCGAGCCGGAGTGGAGTTTGGTCTCCTGGATCGCCGCGACTGAGATTTTATGCCTTCTCATGAAACCGACTATCTCAGCGATCTTACTTTGTAGTCCGTTGCAATTGAACTGCAACAGCTTGATGGATTGTGGCCTTATAATGTGGTATAATGGTTGTGCCTGAGGTGCCTGTAGGGCCTGACGTGCTGGTCCCCGACCGGGTGGGTTAGCCGCAGGTGTCGCGACCGGTGGTGGGATTGGTGCTTGCGTCAGCGTGTGTGTTGTTGGTGGAGTTGGCACGGGGTGTTGTGGTGCGGCTGGGCAACAGGCTGCAATGAAGCCAGTACTCCATTCTCAGTGGTGCGTTAGGCCTGAGCAGCGCTTCAGGTGGCACCAATTGTTGCATGCGTTGCACCTNGTGCGTTAGGCCTGAGCAGCGCTTTAGGTGGCACCAATTGTTGCATGCGTTGCACCTAACCGATGTTGTGTTGCGCCTTATCAGGTTGGTGCAAACGCTGCAGAACCATCTGTCCTGGGTGGATGTCCTGTGTTGCGTGCTTGTAGCTGGTCCACTGGTTGATGGTTGGGCGGGTGTTGGTTGTGTGGAGTTACAGGTTTGTTGGTTGTTGCAGCACGATGCAACAAAATTGTTACTCCACTCCCTGTGGTGCCGAAGTCCTGAGCATGCCTTTAGATGGCACCAAGCGTTGCAGCGGTTGCAGCGGACNGATACTCCACTCCCTGTGGTGCCGAAGACCTGAGCATGCCTTTAGATGGCACCAGGCGTTGCAGCGGACAGAGGTTGAGGAGTGGTGTATGTTGCGGTGGCAAACACTACAGATCCAGGGCCCGGGATTTTGTTCTATGCCGGCGCGGACCAGTAGTATACGGAGCAGACTTGCCGGTGGGTCATGCTCCCATGGCAAAAAATTTGGGGGGTTGCTGCTGTGGTGATTGTCCTTGGTCGGAGTGAGTTCTCCGAGTCAATCCGGTACGTAGAACCGACCATCTTGGGATTCTGTCTGGTGTTAGTGTTTAGTGTTGGACAATTTATGCTCTTAAAATTAAGAAAATTATATCGGTCAAAAATAAAACTACTCAAAAACGCGAATATGTGGTAGATTTCAGACCTTGTGTGGTAGATGCTCAAAAAAGTGGCAGATCTACCACAATGTGGTAAAAGTCCGACCACTGGTGTCGACGTCGCAGCAAGCAATGTTGTTTTCTGCTGTAGAAAATACCCATTCATTAATGCGCAAATGAACAAATAAAAAAAAAAGAAGTTTCAGAATCTGAAAGTTTTTTAGCTTACGGTGGTAGAAGTAGTAGAAATGTAATTTAGCAAAAAAAAGTGTTACCTATACCTACGGTGACCATCCGTTCTGTTTTTTGCAGGACCGTACTGTTATTTAAAGGTCTGTCCTGCGTAGTTTTTCAAAACAGAAAACCCCCAAAATGTACTGTATTTTTCCAAGTGTCCTGCCTTTGTCCCGCATTTTCTTCGATATTTTAAAATTAACTTTTCCTAATCGAAATAAAAGCAGTGTCGATAACTAATTGATAACTACATAAGGGTATGCTGGTTTTGAAGGTTCAACTAGTCAATGCGTTATAAATACTGTACAGTTATGGACAATAGATGACGAGAAATTGAAGACCATCGCTTAAGAAAAAAAATATTTTCCAAGCCAATTTTCTTTTCAAACAAGCGTTTTCGTAATTTTTTCGAAAAACGTGTTTTTGGTACATTTCGGACCTATTCGTCAATATCTCATGAAAAAATTATCCGATCAACATAAGCGACCTACAGTCCTCTTACAAAAATATATTACTTTGCCAATTTCGAAGAAAATTATTAGTGTTACAAGCGACCAAAATCGAAAAATTGAAATTACAATCATTTTCTTTTTACAGTAAATGAAAATCTGATGAGAAATTTAGATGTTACGGAACACAACCTGCACAAAAAATATATATTATTGCAAAGAGCCCATCAATACCTTTCGAACTGTTAGTCGTTTCATGAAACATTGAGGAATAATTGAAAAAGTACTAAAAATACGTTTTTCGAACAAATCTCGAAAACACTTCTTTGAAACCATGGGTATTTTTTTCGTGTTCAACGACCCAAAGTTTGCTTAAAAAATTTGCTTTACAGAGGTTCATATTTCGTGTAAAGTAATACTTAATATGCCTTATTATAATTTTGTAAATATTCATTACTAAAGGATTAATACCAATGAAGCAAATGTGATTTATGTTAAAAGTTTAAAATTGGATTAATAATTAAGAAATATACACTCTTGGTTATTTGAATAGCGCATCCTTTTAATGGGCCGTACGAATAAAAACTAAGCGATTGCCTTTTCTTAAAATTGTATACCTTTTACTCCAATTTTGTTTGAATAAATTGAGTATAAGGTCTGAAATTTCAAGAAAAAGCAATTGCTTATTTTTATTCATACAGCTCAATACTTAGTGGGTGCAGTTTTCCTTCTGTTTGTTTAATATTCATTAACTTTTTATAAAAATATAGCATATTCTACGTCTACATCCCATTTAAAAAATTTTTGAAAATTAAAAAAAAAAAATAATCATAGGGGCGACAATTTTTTTTTGTTGACGGTGCTGCGCATTTTCTTCCATATAAAAATTTTGTCAAGCATACTTTGTATGGTAGAAAATCAAAAAAAGGGTGCGCTATTCAAATGACGAAGAATGTATATATGTAGTATATTTTTATACTACGCAATTATATGTAGGTTAATTTTTTGAAAAATTGTCCTGCATTTTCGAAATATATTTATGGTCACCGTACCTATACCACAAATGTGGGAACATCCGAGCACTGGCTCTTCAGCAAAACTTTGCTGCTTCGCACACAAGCGCATGTGTATGTGATAGTGTGAGTGCCCACCTCTGCTCTAATCCGCTCTTTGTGATTTTGACAGAATCAGCTGTGTGCGTGACGTCTTCTTGGGTCGGTGTTATGCAGACAAACTTTTGTTTGCCAAATTAAATGGCGGCTGCTTAGTTTGCTCGGAGGCGGTTATGTCGAGTTTGGCACAGGGTTGCACGTTCATTATGGTTTTCATGGCTATTGCCAACACGAAATGAGAATTTCAGATGTACATAACGCGCACAATTAATATATATTTTTATGATACCGTATAGGCTATTAACTGTGCCCTAATCTTTGAAGCTTCTACAGCATAAATTCAGTTCTCTGGCTTTCGGTATCACGCCAATTTTTGTGTATAGCAACAATTGTCTAAAATTTTTGTATATGACAACACCGAATTTGCCGCAGTTTGAGCAAACAAATTAGTTTGCTGTGAGAGTCGCCAAACTCGCTCTCTCAGAGTTTGCTGCAACAACAATTGCACGCAGTTTACCAAACAAAATTTCTGCATAACACCGACCTTGGTGCAATTGTTCATTGTGAGCATACGAAAAAACCAAATAACAATTTTAATATTTGTGCGTTAATTTTTCTGCGTGGTTTTAAACAATTATTGGGACATTACAAAGCAAAATGAAGTATTCAGTGGTAAAGTGAAAACAAAAGGAAAGCGTGCGATATAAGTTGCCTACGGACGCAAACCTGGTGAAAAAGTGGAAGAATTTCTGCCGAGGAGGTGCATTAAACACCAAATCGAACTATGTGTGCATGAAGCACTTTACTAGTGAATATATTGAAAATACAGTTCGAAATGGGTAGCATAACGCCTTAGGTTTTGCAAAACCTGGTGCGGTGCTTACCATTTACGAAGAAAATCTGGGGGATTCCTAGCGTGCGGTAAGAGCTCAGCACAGGGAAAACAAAAGAATTGTCAGCAAGTTACTTGAGCAGAGTGAAATTGCCGTTGCCACTGTAGGTAACAATTTGCATTCATATAAATGTGGGAATGGCCTTCCCGTTTCTTCATCTTCTTGAACAAAACGCGGTTATTTAATTTAATAAATTAATATTACTACTGTTTATTTAACAAAACGCACATATTACAATTAAACAACTTAACACTAGCAGAACATTGTTCTGCGCTTGATGGCGGCTGACAATGCAATGCCCAGTTGTTGTTGTTGTAGCGGCTACAACAACCCCGCCCAGATCGGTTGGTATCTCAGTCGTTGTCGTCGAGTTCCACTAACGGCAGCCCCAAGAAGCGAGCAGCCGGTCGGTCCGTCCACAGGGACAGCGCCGTTAGGGTTGTGGGGTTTTCTGGGCATGCGAAGAGATGTTTCGAGTCGTGAGGGGTCCCTCCTCATGCTGGACATTTNAGTCGTTGTCGTCGAGTTCCACTAACGGCAGCCCCAAGAAGCGAGCAGCCGGTCGGTCCGTCCACAGGGACAGCGCCGTTAGGGTTGTGGGGTTTTCCGGGCATGCGAAGAGATGTTTCGAGTCGTGAGGGGTCTCTCCGCATGCCGGACATTCATTCGGCACATCCGCATTTAGCCTACTCAGGTAAGAGTTCAGCCTGCTGCAGTAGCCAGAGCGAAGTTGGGCTATTGTTGTTCTTGTCTCCCGAGGCAGATGGAGCTCCGTCGCGTCAATGTCCGGTGTTTGTGTGCCTAGAACGGCATTCACAGGTCTAGAGTCTACATAACTCGAGACTGAGGCCCTGTGAATGCCGTTCAGGGCCTGTCGGTATGCTGAGGGGTCCAGAGGCTGCTTAATGAACCTCTGGACTTCGTCCGTCAGTTCATATAGATGCCTCCTGACGTGTTTAGGCGAGGGCTCCTCTGCAAGCAGCTGTCTGTTTGGGTGGCCGCATCTGTGGATCTCAACCAGAAACTGCTTGCAGAGCATTATGTTATGCTCCCTAATTGGGAGCATTTTCGCCTCGTCATGGAGGGGGTGTTCGGGTGACATCAGGAGGCATCCGGTCGCTGTCCTGAGTGCGGTGTTTTGTGCTGTCTGTAGCTTCATCCACTGCGTCCTACTAGTCCCCGGCGACCACACTGGTGCTGCGTAATTTAAAACCGGCCGGCCTATTGCCTTGTGTGTTGCCAGCAACGTTTCTTTGTCTTTTCCCCAGGTACTGCCGGCTAGCGACTTGAGGACTTTGTTGCGGTTCTGTACTTTGTTGACAATAGTGGTTGCGCGCGCAAAGAAGGAGAGCAGGCTGTTGAATGTTACTCCGAGTATTTCGGCGGTAGCCTGACCTCCTTCGTCCAGGTGGTGAACAAGGTCGCAGAGGATTTCGTAGGGGAGAGGGCTAGACACTTTGCAGTGAAGAAGCGAGAAAGATCGGAGAGATACCCGTTTACTTTCGAACACAGGTCATCAATTCCATTCCCTGTTGTTGTTGTTGTTGTAGCAGCATACAAGTTCCCCATAGAGTTTTGGGGAGTGTTGCTGGAGTGACAGTCCTTGGCCAGATATAAATCTGGGTAGTTCCGGTTACGTAGACCCGACTGTCGTGGGAACGAATTCCATTCCCTCCCTCCCTCTGGTGGTTGAGGGAGCTTTGAAATATAAAAGTTAAACAGTAGCGGGGAAAGGACACCACCCTGAGGAACCCCCTGTTTTATTTTTCGCTGCTTACTCGTTTTGTCTCTAAACATTACCGACGAATGTCGACCACTCAGATAATTTGCCGACCACCGTTTGAGCCTCTGTGGGTGAGAGGAAGCCTCTACATCTTCTAGTAGCGTGGAATGGCAGACGGTGTCAAACGCCTTTGACAAGTCCAACGCTACTAGAATCGTTCTCTCACAGGGACGGTTACGGTTAAGGCCACGAGTTATCTGAGTGTTTATGGCGTTAAGTGCTGTTGTTGTACTGTGCACTTTACGGAAACCATGCTGATGCTTCGCTGGGGTCAGGTGGTTTGTGAAGTACGGGAGTAGCAAGGCCTCGAGTGTCTTCGCTACCGGGGAAAGGAGTGTAATCGGACGATACGAATCTCCTTTGTTGGCAGGTTTCCCCGGTTTGAGCAGTGGGACCACTCTCCCCACCTTCCAGATGTCTGGGATGATGAGAGTGGCCATTGACAAGTTGAGGACCTCCGTTAGGTACGCTACCCCCGCAGGACCCAAATTTTTCAGCATCAGCATGCATATTCCGTCGGGACCCATGGCTTTGGAGGCTTTCGCCTTCCCGATGGCCACCTGAACTTCACCGCAAGTGAAAGCAAGGGGGGCACAATTTGTTGGCAGTTTGTGCAGCCTTCTGGTCACTTGACGCTTGGTTTTGTCCACCGGAGGATGCAGTATGAACTGCCGCGGACTATAGCTCGCGCATCGCTCCGGGTCCGACGAGGCATGGTCGCCGAAGGAAATTTCGACTCTGTCGTCGTGCTTCGTCGGATTGGACAGTGACCTCACGGTTGACCAAAGCTTACTCACACCAGAGGTGAAGTTGCAGGCCTTCATATGTTCTTCCCACTTCTTCCGCTTATGTACGTTCACTAGTTGCCGAATCTCCGATTTGAGATCCCTGATACGGGGATCACCGGGATCGGCCTGACGAAGGCTGTCACGATCACCGGCTAGGACAGCCGCTTCAGCAGGGAAATTTGGACGTGGGTCAGTGATGCATCCTGCCGGTACGAGGCGGGTTGCAGCAGCAGTGACAGCCATGCGGAACTTACGTTCACCAAGGTGGACGTCGGTTGGTGTGGGGAGAGCAGCGAGGGTGTTTTCAGTAAATTCCGCGAAGCCTTTCCAATCAGCTTTGGAGAAGTTGATATATGTTCGGTGCTCCACGGAAGCAAAGTCGGTTGGTTTATCGATCGAGATGACTATGGGCAGATGGTCTGATGCCAAAGTCAGCATAGGTCGCCATGATATGCTGTTTATCAGACCAGCGCTGACTATTGTTAAGTCTGGCGAGCTGCAACAGCTGCCCATAATCCTGGTGGGTGCGTCGTCGTTCATTGTGCAGAACGTCGAATCGTCTATCTGCTCAGCCAAATAGGTTCCCCTACGATCGTTTGACAGGCTTAAGTGCCAAAGATCGTGGTGCGCATTAAGGTCACCTACTACCATTCGGTTTTCACCTCTGAGGAGCGCACCTATATCAGGGTGATATACGGCCGGGCAGCAGGTGACAGGGGGTATGTAAACGTTGAATATTTCGAGCTCAACATCGCCTGACCGGATAGCAATGCCCTGACATTCTAGGGTGGTATCCCTGCGGTCGATGTCTGCTTCGATAAGACGATACTGCACGGTGTGGTGCGTGATGAACGCTAAGCCACCACCATTATCTCGCTCGCGATCTCGACGGTGCACGTTGTACCCGGCACAATTCAGCAATGTTGAATCGCTGTGCAGCTTCGTCTCTTGGATCGCAGCTATCAGTATACCATGCCTTCCCATAAAGACGGTTATCTCCTCGGTCTTGCTCTGAAGCCCGTTGCAGTGAAATTGAAGGAGCTTCATGTGGTTCGGGAGACGTGTGGTAATGCGGGGTGTGAGTGATGTGTGTGGCAGTGACGCCATTGGCTGTGTGCGCTGCTGAGGTGGTTGCCGCCCTGTGGTGATGGTGGGTGGCGTCGTAGTTGAAGTTTGCGACCATGCTGCGCAACACGGGCCCTCGAAGTTCCTCGTTCAATCTCGCGTGGTGCGCAGACCTGAACATGCCCTATAGTGGCAGCAGCCAAGGCAGGTGTTGCACTTGACTGATGTCACATTACGGAATATCCTGGTCTGACATACTGTGCAGATTGTAGGAGGAACCAAGAGTTGTTGGCGGCGGCGTGTGGGTGGTAGTGCAGTTGTGTGTGTTCTGTGGTCTGTCGCGGTTGTGGTGTGGTCTATTGTTTTGTTATGTTGTTGTGCTGTGGTGTTTGAGTGGAACTGCTCAGGTGGACTGGGGTTAGCCCTGGAGGCTGCTCTGTTTGAGCAGCAGGGGGTCACATACGATGTGGTCCTATGGACGAACAACTTCTGAGACACTTCGCCGACCTAAGCGGGGTTAGATCGCCGAAACAACAGCCCTTGGTCGGGTAAAACCCGAGTCATTCCGGTACGTAGAACCGGCTGTCATGGGAATGGCAATGCCCAGTCTGATCTGTTCGTGTAGTTCTCTTCCCTATCGCCTTTCGTTAAATAGTTAGATAAGTTAGATTCCTCTATTCGTTATGTAGGGCTGCATTTCTATGTTACTAACTCTGAATGGCCAATTAGTCCTAGCATCGTTAGTACTGTCCGTAAACTAATCCCACATTCGGCCATCCTGCGTTTCATTCTGCCTCGAATGAGAAATACTACTCTTATTTTAATTTTGCATATTTTGTGAACTTCTCTATTTCAGCCCTTCTCACTCTTCATCATTTGCTTAATGGCGTTTCTGATCCTTTATCTAGCTTTCAACAAAACCTAATTTCTTTTTAAAATCAATCATCTAAAAACTTCTTGCTCTTCAATCGATATTGGCTTCATCCTTGTATGGAATTACCAATCTCTTTATACTCTTCACTTGTACTAGGTCTCAAACAGTCATAAAAATGTATCACTCTCTGCTTCTTGTCAACTGCATCCAGTCTCTACTGTAGCTCAAGAGAATCAGCTTCTAACTTTAGTGCCTCCTCTATGCCTACCACCAGACATAAAACTTCAATTATGGCTCCCTAGTAGCAACAGAATGCACGCTCACACTCTCGTTGTCCACTTTTACCATAGTCCGCAACATCTCACCGTGCCTACGCAGCCTATTAGTTACACCGGACGCACGCTCACGTCCTCGAGGACATTACTGCTAACGCCTTCCACACATCGATGTGTTCACACGACCCTCTCGTCGCCTCACCACTCTCTATAGGGTTCTCACGCCATTTGCGTTTGACATTGAATCTACAGATTCCTCAACGTGCTTTACTGCACCAACTTACGAGATTATTTCCCCGGCCCTCCAGCCGCAACTCACTGCTGCACCTAGTGATAGAACTTTTTAGAAAAGTATCGATACTAGTACTCATTTATAATACTTCAAAAAATAATCGATGCCAGTACTCATATTTGGAAAAAAGTATCGATAATACTCGTACTTGCAAGTATTTTTAGGGCAAACGCGAAAAGTTAACAAAAATCAGATTGCTTTGTTTACATATACATATTTATGACCTCTTTCTTTTTGTAAATTGAGTAGACATTGCTTTTAATAGCTGAAGTCTGATCTAACAAGCATTTCTAACGGAGTTTTTGAAAAGAACTTGCAATAAGTTAAAAAGCGTAAAACAAAAGTTTATAGCAAAAGGCTTATTTGAAGCTTTAAAAAGCAACTAAAGCCATTGCCTAAAAGAAAGAAAGCTCCATTTCACAAAAATTTTCCTCGAAAGCGGGCTGGATTTCAAATTTAAAACCCAGGTAGAATACATTGGAAAACGAAGGCTCCGTTATTCTGGAGAGCTGCCAAGTTATCGAGCCGAAGACCACCCTCCTAACCCATTCCTTACACCGGCACACAAAAATTGGTGTGTGCTTTTAACCAGACCCACTTGCCGCCACATATTTCGACCCACTGAATCCGAATCCGAGGTCCGTTTGACCCGTCCTTGCCATTTTTTGCAATTAAATCCAAATTTAGGAGGTGNAGTTATCGAGCCGAAGACCACCCTCCTAACCCATTCCTTACACCGGCACACAAAAATTGGTGTGTGCTTTTAACCAGACCCACTTGCCGCCACATATTTCGACCCACTGAATCCGAATCCGAGGTCCGTTTGACCCGTCCTTGCCATTTTTTGCAATTAAATCCAAATTTAGGAGGTGTACTAGTCAAATGGACCTCAATACATGTCGATATGTGGGTCTGGTTAAAAGCAAAGACCACTTTTTTTGTGTGGGCAAGGTATGGCAAGAGATCCGTTTTCCAATTATTTAAGAAGTTTTAACCGAGCCAAATGTTCACATGACTGCTACCTCTTCTTCTGTGTTGTATAAAAATTTCATAGCGATTACCAGTAGCTCACCAGAACAAAATATATATTAATTTTTCGGTTTTTTGAGTTATGACAGTATTGAAGTAAATGAACGTTATGCCCATATGTTATGTAATTGAAAAAAAAATTACCTAAACAAGTTTTTAAAACGTCGATACTTTTTGGTATTCGCGATATTTACTCAGTACTTGTCACAGAGTATCGAGTCCTCGATACTACTCAGTACTCATGAAAAGTATCGATATTCTGTACTCGGTACTCGTATCGTTCTATCACTAGCTGTACCTCTACTGATCTCTTTCCGTTGCTACACTGACTGCACAACCTTAACAATCTTTGTTGGCAATTATCAAGCCAGTACCGTTCAAATCTTTGCATATTTCGAACAATGATGCTTTTTAACCTCATCTCTCATAAATACTCACTCTACTTTGTATAAAATAATTCTCAACTCAAAGTCAACTTACTTGGCCAAAAAATGTTTAATGACATTTGTTACACCTTCCTTAATTTAACACTAAACATTTATCACTGCAACTCACAAAGTCTTCTAATTAGTCACGGTCTAACAAGAATTCTCAAGGTCCACTTTTTAAAATTCAGTGCCAATTACACTCTTACTTTAAATAATTTACATAACAAGCTCGAATGATATCAATAATTGACAATTATGTTAAATTTAAAATAATTTAATTGGACCGCTGATTTAACATTATACTTTTCTCTTTAAAAAACCTTTTCGTACCGCATACCAACATATATATTTTAATTAAACTTTCTATATTTTGCTTTTAAAATTACTGAAACTATTCACCTGTGCATAGAACAAAGGTTAAAGCAAATGCATAAAAATTGTGAAAGCTAACACTCTAATGGAATTTCATTTTTACTTATTCTGCAATCAGCGTGTCACTCTAGTGTTGCTTGCTGCCTCCCACGCCGCCGTCCTTTGGTTTTTAGTCTTCCTTCTTTTTATAAAAATGTACTGTACAAGGCTTTATGTTTGTCAAGCCCAGTGGTGCCGCTAGACGTACCGTTTCGCTGCTTTGAGGTACCGCTTCGCTGCTCTAAATCAGCGCCGCTGCTTTAACTAGCGCGCCGATGCTCGCCCTCCGCTGCCCTGACTTCGCTGCTGTGAACTACCGCAATTTCGGTTGATGCCGACGGCGTCGTCACTTAGCGGTTTACTGTACCGCAAGCACAAATTCTTGCCCACCTCGGCAAAGCGGTAAAAGACACGTCTTTATGGCCACACAATACACTTTACTTACGTGCGTATGTGCCATTGTCGTTTCCTCGCTGGCTAGCGTGCTGAAAATTTGATGATTTTCCACGCTTGCAAATCGGCTACTTTACCCTGCTGAAATTGTGGCTGCTTTTAAATTTTTTATGCGCACGCTGCTTTTCGCAAAAATGTCTGCTAAGCACGTTGCTTCTCCCCGTTGAAAAACTGCTACTGTACGCATGCTTGTTTTTTCACGCCAACTTTAGAGCACCGTAATGTCAGCTGCCTCTGGCCAACCCGACTTTGCTGTCGCCGCCTAGCTGTTTTGCACACGCTTTTTCACAAAATTTTAATTTACACACAATTCCTAGAGTGGATTCGTATCTCACTCTGACACCAATTGTAGGAATGGCCTTCCCGTTTCTTCATCTTCTTGAACAAAACGCGGTTATTTAATTTAATAACTTAATATTAATAGATTGGCGCTTACACATATGTTAATATTACATACTGTTTATTTAACCAAACGCACATATTACAATTAAACAACTTAACACTAGCAGAACATTGTTCTGCGCTTGATGGCGGCTGACAATGCAATGCCCAGTCTGATCTGTTCGTGTAGTTCTCTTCTCTATCGCCTTTCGTTAAATAGTTCGATAAGTTAGATTCCTCTATTTCCATGTTACTAACTCTGNGAGGTACCGCTTCGCTGCTCTAAATCAGCGCCGCTGCTTTAACTAGCGCGCCGATGCTCGCCCTCCGCTGCCCTGACTTCGCTGCTGTGAACTACCGCA